GTTGCAAACTCTACAAGTGACTCCAGCTTTTTTAAATGACAGTAAAGATCAGTTTATCAACACAGCCCAACACAATTTCCCTTGTGAAAATGAAGCAATCAGATATTTATTAGAAGTGAACTGCAAGGCTTTGGGTTTTATTTTAAAAAGAGGTGTACATTATTTAAATTTCTAAATCAATAAGAACCAGATGTTACCCCTGTATATGCATGCACACACATGTGCGTGTACACACACATACATAACACATATGGGTGCATACTTTCAAGGAAGTGTGTCAGATAGTTGTCACATGAAAGCAGCAGCTACTATGCTGCATAGTTCCTCAGTCATCTGGAAACAACAGCATTCCCTCTGATTGTACTGTTAATATTAGGTCTCTTGTTACAAATTGAGGCACGTGGCCAGCAGGAAGGGAGTAGGCAGGGAGCAGCTGCTCCGTGTAGCATGCTTCCCTAGGAAAAGGACTACAGTACTGGGACAAATTATCATGGAGGTTAGTGCTGGTTTGCCCAGCAATAAATCCCACACACACCTTACCCCTGAGCTGACTGCAGAGTCACAGTAATGGAGCCAGTAAAACTGAGGAATGTGAACCACCTTTTTTTTTTTCTATGAGAGGAGAGCATGGTGGATCCAAGTTAAGAATCTGTGAGATTTGGTCCCATTTTTCCTGCAGGTCACACTATTTCTCCCTCTTTGTGAGGCAGCTGCCCCTACCACTGAAGGACAAGAATGTCTGGAAGTTCTTGACCCTAAAACCTCCTCTTTTTCCAAAGGATTTTTTCCAGTTCAATGGGTTTCTCCACAAAAAGCCATGAGAGACAGTCAGATCAAATGATCAAGAACTACATCAGCAAATAAAATATTACCAAAAGAAGTACCACCTGATTTAGCATGTTCCCAGAGTAGCCTCCATCAGTGATTCCTTAACCTCAAATTAAGTCTCCTTCTTCACTGGAGACAAGCCTCTAAGAAGATGCATCTTCTCTTGAAGGTAAAGACATGTTAGAAAAGCATCACTAATTTGATATCAACTAGAGTAAGTGAGTGGGATTAAACTTTGCCTGTCTTTTGCTGAGCTGGTTATATGGCCATGGATCTTGAAGGCTAAAGTGGCCTGCGTCAGCTTTATTTTGCCCTAAGTTTATTGAACTGCTTGAAAACCAACTTTTATGACTAAAGATGAAAGCTTTTAAAAGGACAGTTAGTAAATATGACCACTTGTGTAAATATGTGTGAACTTCCCTCTTCTAACATAGATTTCATAGACATTAGGGCTGGAAGGGACCCCGAAGGATCATTGAGTCCAGCCCCCTGCCTCAGGGGCAGGAAGTCAGCAGGGATCATAGGATCCCAGCAAGATAAACAAATGTGCCTTAAAGGCATTCAGAGTGGGTGCTTGAACCACCTCCGGCGGCAGTGTATTCCAAACCTTGGGGGGCTTGGACAGTAAAGAAGTTACGTTCCCCCAGATCCTGGTGAACACCTCTGATATACTTGTAGGTGGCCACCAGATCGCCCCTGAGCCTGCGCTTTTCCAGGCTCAAGAGTCCCATGGCTCTCAGCCTCTCATCATAAGGTCTGTTTTCCTGACCTCTGATCATGCGCATGGCTCTTCTCTGCACTCTCTCAAGCTTCTCCACATCCTTTTTGAATTGTGGAGCCCAAAACTGAATGCAGTACTGCAGCTGCGGCCTCACCAAGACCAAGTACAACGGGAGAATGACGTCCTGGGATTTGCTTGAGAAGCATCTGTGGATGCAAGCCAGCGTTTTGGTCGCTTTACTAGCCACAGCATCACATTGAAGGCTCATGTTCATCTTGTGGTCAATCATGACCCCCAAGTCCCTTTCATCTGTAAGTGCTAACCAGTGTAGCACTGCCAAGCCTATAAGCATGCTGCAGGTTTTTCCTCTCAAGGTGGAGAACCTTGCATTTTTCAGTGTTAAACACCATCAGGTTTTCATCCACCCATTTCATGAACCTGTCAAGATCTGCCTGGATCACCCTCCTGTTCTCAGGTGTGGATGCTTTACCCCAAAGTTTGGTGTCGTTGGTGAACTTGGCCAGTCCACTTCTGATACCAATGTCCACATCATTAATGAAGATATTGAATAGTGTTGGCCCAAGAACAGAGCCTTGACGGACCTCACTGGTCACCGTGCACTACAACGATTGACTTCCGTCAACCACTACCCTCTGGGACCTACCGCGGAGCCAATTCCCCAGCCAGCAGATCGTGATGAGGTCAAGGCTTCAGTTAGCCAGTTTTGCCAAGAGGTGATCATGGGATACCAGATCGAAAGCTTTTTTAAAGTCAAGATATACAACATCAATCTCTTCCCCCTTGTCCAGGTGATAGGTCACCTGGTCATAAAAGGAAATGAGATTGGTCAAGCAAGACCTACCCTCAGCCAATTCCCTGGCAAACTCCTGGTCAAGGTCTTGACCTTGGGTAGGGGGTCTATAGTAGACTCCCACCATAATATCCCCTGTGTCACATTCCCTCTGGATTTTAACCCAGAGGGTCTCAAATCTTCCACCGTGGGTGCCAATGTCAGCTTGCAGGGATGCGTAGCTTTCCTTGACATAAAGAGCTACACCCCCGCCCCTTTTGTCCACTCGATCCCTCCTATACAGGGTATAGCCATCTATACCTGTGGCCCAGTCATGGGTGGAGTCCCATCAGGTTTCTGTTATCCCTATGACATCATAGCTATTTGTATTTAGCAGCAGGACAAGTTCATCCTGTTTGTTCCCCAAGCTCCTGGCATTTGTGTATAGGCAGACAAGTGCCCCTTTGGGGGCCCTGGCCTTGCCTACCATTTGTTCCAGGGCTGGGGCAGGGGTGGGATCGCTTAATTTATTTCATTGTGAAATACCAGCCCGATTATATATACACTTTGAGGCTAGGGACAGACATTCAAAAAGGGTTGCTCAGGAGGCCAACAGTGGCAGTAGTCGTGTCCCCCCCCCCCCCCCCACCCCCCCCATCCTCCGGCGGGCTTAGTTTAAGGCCTGGTGGAGCAGGTCAGCCAGTCTGGCTGAGAAGAGCCTCCTCCCCAGCGGAGAGAGGTGAAGGCCATCCCTTCCCAGCAGCTCACTGTCTCTCTCACCAAAGAGCGGACTGTGGTCATGGAAGCCAAATCCTTCCCGATGACACTAGCGCCACAGCCTTTGGTTCAATACCTGGATCCTCCTCTCCCTCCTCAGCCCATAGCCCAAAACTGGGAGGATCGAAGAAAACACCACCTGCGCCCCCAGGCCCTTTAGCCCAGCTCCCAAATCCCTGTAGTGCTTCACTACACAGGTGGGAGCACTCCAAGCTGTATCATTGGTGCCCACATGGATGAGGAGTATAGGGCAGTGGTCAGTGGGCCGGAGGAGTTTAGGGATCTTCTCTGCAATGTCTCGGATACGGGCTCCCAGAAAGCAGCAAACTTCCCAGGCTAAGGGGTTGGGGTGGCAGATTACCCCTTCAGTCCCCCTCAGGATGAAGTCTCCCACGACAAACACTGTATTTTGTTTTGGGGAGAGTGGGGTTGCTGAGCCATTCAGTGTCTCCAGAAGCTGTCAGGACGAGTAATGATTGTAAAAATATTGTATTTTCTTTTGTTTCAGCTGGCTCTGACCAACACATTTGGCTGATTATTTCTGCATTGAAGGGAATTATATTGTTGTAATTAAAAAACCCACTTTTGTCATAACTTCTAAATACTGGTTCTTAAATTCAGGGTCCCCTACTTTAATTAACATGTATTTTAAAGCTACTTTCATCCTTTATTTTGCAGTGATTTCTTTTCTGTATATCTTCACTTTCAGTGTCATGAGCCCAGAGAATGTTGAAGCTCCCAGCATTCACATTTGTGTTTGTGTATCTCAGAACAAAAGCAGTAATTTATTAGACCCTTTATAACATTGATTGAGATTAAAAACCAGATCACATTATCAATAAAGTATTTTCTGCTTAAGATCCTCCTTTTCTGGGTTGGATTGTAACTGTATACAGAGCAGGGTAAGAACAAAACCGTGATTCTGATATTATATTCTAGCCATTTAGTGGCTCTCACATGTGTGAGGGCATCTTGTGCCTCCATACAACCCTTGATAAGCATGCTGCAAGGATCATAATTGAATCTTAGGACATATATCATCTTTCATTTGTATAGTCATCAACAGCTGTATCTTAGTTTATACCGGCACAGTGGGACTATACTAGGGTATTTGAGAGCACAGCGGCGGTGCTCTGTGTCCCTAGGACTGAGCTGCAGTAGCATAATTTGGGTTGGGGAGGGGGAAGACTGGGGCACCAGCCCCGAGTGCCAGTTCAAAGCGGGTATCAGAATGGCAGCCTCTGGAAGCCTGTGCTGCTGCTGAAGCCCATGTTGAGAGAGCTTGCCCATAGGCAACAGCAGCAGCCTGTGCTGCTGCCATCACAACCTGTGCAAGAAGGTAAGCACTTGATACTCTGTTACCCAAAATTTAAAGTTACACCCCTGCAGAGATGTGCCTTTTAGGCACAAGGCAAGGGGCAGCCCCGTGAGGTTTTGACTTTAATGGAGCTGTGATATTTTTACCAGTTCAGAAGTTGTTTCTGAATAATATTTTTTGTTGCTAAAAGTATAGAAAGAAATTCTAACTAAGTAAATTATATTTACCAAGATTAGAAATTGGCCAGCACGCCATCCTTAATATTCCTTCTTTTCAGAAAATAACACGGCAGATTTAATGGGCATAAACTGAGGGGTGAGGGTTGGCTTTCAATTTTGTATTTGTTGTTGATATGCTGTCACAGTCTGTACTGATCAGTTGCACATCTGGCAGCACCTAGATTGTCCATAGAGGCATTTTCATCAAAGCATTGACCAACCATCCCAAGTTTGTAGAATTCTATCTATCTGACAAAGCAGGAGTTCTGAGTCACTGGGCAATCGCACTTAAGAGCTGATAGTTCTACAAGTAACATTTCTCTTAATCTGTTCCTATTTATTTTACAGGTTGTCACTTTGTGGTATAGAGCTCCCGAAGTTTTGCTTCAGTCCAGCTATGCAACACCTGTTGATCTTTGGAGCGTTGGTTGCATATTTGCAGAGATGTTCCGTAGAAAGTAAGGAATACATTTTATTATCTTTACTTATTTCTTTTTAATTTAAAAAAGGGTAGGAATATATGGTACTGTACATTGTAACAGCTTATGTGGTAGAAAATTGGTAGCATGTTTTATTTAGAGCATGAACTGCAAAAAGCTTTCACAAATTCAGGTTTGTCATCTTGAATTATTTTTCTTCTCAAAAGCTAGTCTGTACAACTAATTAAAGCTTTGCTTTCCTTACTGAAAATATATATGAACAGTTCTTGTTGTCTTATTATGAATGAATCCAGACAGCTGAAATTTTAATAAAATAGGGACTAGAGCATCTGTTGATAAAAGTCATAGAGAAGGATTCTGGAAAAAATGTACTTTGGGTCATTGTATTCCTGGAGTTTATACTTTTGGGCATTGGGTACTTGCTTGTTGTCATCCCTTGGCATATTTGAGGATCTGGAAAGTCACTGTAATGTTGATGTTTAGAAGCAGACAGAGGTAGGAATTTAAGAAAACTGTTTTGACAGCATCTATGGTAATGTAGGTAGTAAAACATCAGTGTAGTGAGGAAAAGTAGAAATGAGGCTTTTTTGGCTGATCTGGTTAGATTAAGTATTGATATTTCTAGAAGCACAGAAAATAGGAATTAAAAGGTCCTCAAGGGACCATCTAGTTCTTCTTTCTGCCTCAAGGCAGGATTAATCATATCTGAAGCATTTTTGGCAGATATTTATCTAACCTGCTCTTAAGGCTTCCAATGATGGGGATTCGATAACCTCCCTGTGTATTATTTCATTGTAAAATACCAGCCTGATTTTATATATATATATATATATATATATATATATATATATATACACACACATACACACTTTGAGGCTAGGGACAGACATTCAAAAAGCCTGAGCCTGAATTGATTCAGTCTTTGCAAGTTAGTGTAACCTGGCTAGGCTAAGTCACTTTGTAACTGTACAGACATCCCAGAAATGCCAGCACATGCCTGCAGTGGCTCAGGCTAGAAGCTGGAGCTCTAGAGCAGCCCTCCCTTCCTTTGCACAGGCCTGAGCTGATGTGGGGTGTGGCAGAGCACCTTTGGGGGTGCTTGCCACTTGAGGGCTTTCACAGGCTCTGAGGAGGAGCTTTGGGAGGAGCAGTAGGGGAAACCTTACCCAGGAACTATTTTAAGCGGGAAGATGTGTGGCAGGGCACTGTTGATTCCTGCCACTTTAAGAGCGGAGCCAAGCAGCCAGCAGGTGTTTGATTGCGGCAGCCATTTTAGACCTCTGGCCACCTATATAAAGAGAGCAGTTTGCTGCTGGCAGCCCAGGCAGTAACATCACCTGGCTGCAAGGCTGAATAACGACTACCCTGGAAGTAAGAGCAGGAGCTGTAGGGGATGGTTTGGAGGCTCCTGGTCCTGGGCATGACCTAAAACTGCACCCTGCCAGGAGTGGGTGGCCTGTTGGGGCTCTCGGTGGCATCAGAGCTGCCAGGAAATGCCAGGCCAGTTACCACCCCAGTGAAAGGTGCCTTAACCTCAGCCCTCACCTTCAGGTGGGTCATGTAACATCAGAGGTAGTTGGGGCCAGGCATGTCTGCGGCCACGTGAGCCCTATGGGGTGCAAGACCCTGAGGAGCGAGAGTGGGGGCCAGGCATGGCTGCGGCCACCTGAGCCCTGTGGGGTGTAGGACCCTGAGGAAAGGTAGTTGGGACCAGGCATGGCTACAGCCACCTGAGTCCACCGGGGAGAGAAGCCTTGTGGCCCCACTAAGGAGGCGTTGTGGAGCCCCAGTGAGTGGGGCAGAGATGAGCCCCAGTGAGGGGGCGGCCGCAGTGAGGGGAGACCACGGTATGTCTTCAGACTCCTGAGGCCACAGTTTGGGCCAGAGAATGAGTAAGGGGTGGGGGCTTAGTTCAAGAGAGAGGGGTGAGTCCTAACCCCGGTAAGTCCTGCACTGCTGGGAGGCCGAGTGTTGGTCGAAAGTAAGAGCTATAGTAGAGCACAATGACCTACTGCTCCAGGGGACGAGTGAGAGTCCCTGTGAGACCCTGGAGCACAGCTGCAGCCACCTGAGCCCCACAGGGGAGGGAAGCCCCATAGCCCCAGTGAGGGGGCGGAGATGTGGAACCACAGTGAGAGGGGCAGTGTGAGATGTGGAGCCCCAGTAAGGGGGAAGAGACGAGGAGCCCCAGTGAGGGGAAAACCAGAGGGCTGGGAGCCCAGTATTGTCTGACTGTACATAGTTGCCCCGGGAAGGGGCCAGGGCAAGCTTAGACCCGGTTGGGTAATTGGCTGCCCACTACCCCGGTGGGGGTTGCAGGAGAGACCCAAAAGACGGTACGTCTGCCACCCAAGATATGAGCTAGCTAAAGCCTGTGGCCTAAGGGGCCCGCTCCAAGAGGGAGTAAGGCAGTACAAGTTGTCGAGGCATGAAAGAGACCCTATGAGAGGGGGTGGAGTGAGAGAGGCCCTAGTAAGAGGAGGGCGGTATGAATGTGTGTGTCTGCAGCCTGACAATGAAGCCTAAGCTTGGTCCAGCTGTAAGCCGGGAGCATTGTCATCTGGATGCCATCTGCGAGGCTTGGGCTGCGGTGTAGGAGAGGAACGGAGCTGCAGATAGCGCCCCCTGGCATCAGGGCAAGAATGGGCAGCCTTGTGCTTTTAATTAACAACAAGGCATGGCAGGCGAGGCAAGGTGGGTGACATGCCCAAAGGCACGCGGGGAAACTAGCACTGTGGCTAGTTGGGGAGTCCCACCTTGCCACAGGCGGCATGGCCAGGTCCCAGCAGGATGCTCTTATTAGTCCAGCAGGGAATTGATAACAGTGTTTATCACCCCTAACTCAGTGTTTATCACCCCAGTAACAAAACAACAGAAGGACATTACCAGCTACCTGTTGATTCTGCCTGTTGATTCAGCAGAACCATAGCCAGCATGTGGTCTATTAGCTAATACACAGACAACTCTCTTTGCAAGGCAGAGGGGTGGGGGTGGAATTCCTGCTTAGCAGGGAGTGGTGAGGCAGAGGCAGAGGGTGGGGAACAGCCCGCAGTTTTGCAGGAGCTGCAGTCAGGGAGCAGAGTGAAGAGGCCAGCCCTGCTGTGGAGCAGAGAGCCCCACCCAGCCCAGAGAGCATGCCAGGATGCTGGAGGAGTCTGGTTTATCTTAAACCAGCAAGAGGTCTGGGACAGACATTGCATAAACCGGTTTGACCCAAATCAGTTAAACCTGGTTGAATGTAGTATCAGACTTATCTCAAACTGGTTTCAGCTATTTTCAAAATGGTTTATGTGCACTGAACATCTGTTCTGTAAAAGGTTTAAACCAGTTTCTGATCACTTAAACCAGTTTATGTGTAATGTCTGTCCCTAGTCTGAATGAAAACTAGACTCTACAGCAAGAATTATACATTGTAACTATATAGTCTGCTGACAGCCTGCTTATAGCAACTACATGGACCATTTTGGAACAGCTTCTGTGAAATCATTTTTAATAAATAAAATGGGAAAATCTGAGGAAAACAGGTCACCTATCAACCTAAAAAACAATGATCAGTTTTGAAAAACTGCAAAATCATATCTATAATATAGTAGTCCTTAGAAAGCACCAGGTAATACCAATATTTCTTGATAGAGATGAACTCGTATTTGTGATAGTATTTTTAATCTACAAAAGAATGGTGGGATTTCACTGCTTATTAAAGTTACTATATGGAAAAATACCCCCGGGGGGGCAGGGGGGCTTGTTGCCTGGTCAGATGGCCTGGGCAGATTTACTACACTCCACCCTCTGTTTATGACTCATATATTAGATCAGTAAATGAGAGAAAAGAAGAGTGTGTATTTTAGGAGTTTCTGCTAAGTCCTCCATTGCAAATTTTCAAAGTCTTATCCCACATATTGCGAAGTTGACAATGATATTGAGCCAATAATATTTTTCTAACTTTCAAAATCAAAAAGCAGCTTTATTTTTAGCTTTTTCAGAGAGACTAAAGCATGAGAAACAACTAAACTGAGAGAATTTAGTATTTGTTCAAACACCTTATTTTGTTACTTAATTTAGTGAAGGCAAAACGTTTACATTGATTTTTCAGTTGTCCCTCTTACAGTATATGAGCCTCACTCACTTTTCAAATCAAAATTCCAACATGATAAATAAAATTAGGGACAATTCGTACTTTTTACTGATTGCAAATACAAATATTACTTTGAGATTACAAAATGGCAGATTTCTTAATGCAAATAAAGTTTGATTGGAGGCAGATTTTGATACAACCAGGCTTTCTCTTATTGTTGCCAAAGCAGGGTCAGTTTGACATTTTCAGTCCTAAATCTGGGAGGCAGTCAAAAACTCTGGACTTTAGGCATCTGCCAAGTGTATATGTGCTATGTTGTTTAATGATGGTAACAGTATGACTTTCAGACATTTAATTATGCAAGGGCATTTGGCAGACCAATTTAAAGCTTGACTGTCACAAAACTAAAATGAATGGCATTTAATGTCTTCTCTGACTGTTGGTTGGACTTGATTTTGCAATAAACTTTGTATGACATATGCTCTCGTTTTAATATCCTTGATGAATTGCAAAAGAAAAGCTATGTTACTATGGCCTTAGTAGCAATAAATTGTAAAATTTTGCAAACTCCCATGGATTGTTTCCAAAAGATTGAATAAATGTGGCAGGTATTTTTGGGAAAAAAATAGTAGGCAACTTGGGTACCACCCATCTTCTTTCCAAACTGCTGCTGATGGGATAAGAGCATATGGGTTCTTTTAAAATTTAGATTGAAAAATTGGCTGTTGGTACAGCATTAAAGCCAACCTTTTCCTTTTGTCATACCATATCCCCAGATGCTTATTTTCTTACCACCCCCTGCTCCTCCCACTGTTTCTCCTTTGTGTTGATTTTAACTTGGATCTTTTTCACTGAAAGCCAGGTTACCACTTGCCACAAAGTAAGAGTGTATACACAGGCATTTACATCAGAACACATGATGTGTGGTAGAGCCCTGCCACCT